GGCTGGGAGGTGTAGCAGCGTTTTGGGCAGGGGGAGTGCATGTAGAAGGGAAATAGGAGAGTGTGGAAAGGGGTGGGCAGGGAGTGTCGCTCCCTCACGCTTGAGTATCCCACTTCTTACATCAAGTGGACTCTTAACCCCTCTTATCTTGTAGACTGTTCCTGTACTACTAAATATATAACGCTTCGTGAATGACTTAGATTAAAGTGTCTCAATTAACAATAATAATGCCCCCCTCTTACTACTGTCTAGTGTCTAGTCACTACTGTCCCTCTTTCCTTAAATCTCCGCATAGTCAAAGGGTATATTGAGCGTTTCCGACAAATTCCTAAATTTATATCAGGGCATGCAGGGAGCGAGCATAGCAGGCTGGCAGGGGGTGGGGTGTGTTCCATACAGGCTAACCAAGAAGGCAGGCGGGAGTTGTAGCAGGCATGGGCTAGGAGAGGATGTTGCAGGCATGCAGGGAGTTAGCAGGGAAAATAGGGAGTGTGGAAGTGGAGGCAGGGTGCTTGTTGCACGGCAGCGGGGGGGGAAATAACCCCAGTAGAGTAGCTTTATTACCTGAAGTCCTTAATTGAAGGGATATTCCCCTTCCAAACAATAATCAGTCCGCTCTCCTCCTCCCTGACGTCCATAAGCCATAAGAGTTTCAATAAGGTATGTAATAGTGCTTTAAATACTTTTTATTTATTTTATTTAGTTCTTCATTTTTTTGTCGTATGTATAACTATAATTAATCTTAAAAAATGTATTTTTGTTAATATTTTGGGGTGTTTGAACGGATTTAATTGTATTAATATTAATTCTTATGGGAAAGTATTGCCTTCAATTTAGGGCCTTTTTGAAATTTGTAGGCTGACCTTATGGAACGGATATGGCCGATATTCAGGATTCACTGGTATCTCTTTTATATATTCCACATGTTTTGACTCAATCTGAGTAGAGGACTCTATACAAATGTAAGCTAAAAAAATATAAAACTGTGTGCCAGAGGCAAAAGGTTTTCGTAACTGCGTTTTCAAAATTATTGTTAAAAAACACCTAACCCTTTTATTAAATTTACATAGATTAAATTAAATGTCTAGTAGCATGTTAATGACCTAAATTATCCAGATTCCAAAATGTTTTTGTACTTTGGCATTTATTGTCAACCATTATATTTCTGCCCCAGTAATTATTACACATTGACTAAAATAGTCTATAAATTTTTGATTTACTATCTCTAAATAATTTAAATGATTTTTTTTTTTATTATCACCACCCGGCCGATTCCCACCAAGGCAGGGTGGCCCAGAAAAAGAAAAATCTATTCACCATCATTCCTCCATCACTGTTTGCCGAAGGTGCTTTACACTACAGTTTATTAAACTGCAACATTAACACCCTCCTTCAGAGTGTGCAGGCACTGTATATTCCCTATCCAGGACTCATGTCGGCTGCCGGTGTCCCTGAATCCCTCATAATGTTACTTTGCTCCACACTCCAAACAGCACGTCAAGTATTAAAAATCAATTTGTCTCCATTCACTCATATCAAACACGCTTCACGCATGCCTGCTGGAAGTACCTAGCCCTCGCACTCAAAAACCATCCTTACCCTCCCTCTAACCCTTACTAGGCCGACCCTACCCCGCCTTCCTTCCACTACAGACTGATTACACTCTTGAAGTATTTGTTTCGCTCCATTCTCTTCTACATATCCGAACCACCTCAAAACCTTCCTCAGCCCTCTGACAAACAGTTTTGGTAATCCCGCACTCCTCCTAACTTACTAACTACGAATTCTTTGCATTATATTCACACCACACATTGCCCTCAGTTCATGAACATCTCCACTGCCTCCAGCCTTCTCCTCGCTTGCAACATTGTTCACCCACGCTTCACACCAGTATAAGAGGTTGGTTAAAAACTTTACTCTCTCATACATTCCTCTTTGCCTCCAATGGACAAGTTTCTTTGTCTCCACAGACTCTAGTGCACCACTCACTCTTTTTCCCTAATCAATTCTATGATTCTCTCATCTTTCATTAGACCATCGCTGCTCTGGCTTTAATATAATGTACATAGTTTGTTACTTACTTATAATAATCTTCATTTTCAATAAACTTATGTATTCAGCAACTTAATTATATTTAGCCTTCAAATAATGTAACTTGCTGCTGACTTTGTCAGGTACAGTAGTTTTATTTTAACTTTTTCTCTTAGTCTGCCTGGAATGCTGTATAACCAGGTGCTGTCCTGAATATAAGAAAATAAATGTCACCTAATTTTTCAACAATTACTTGCTTTTTGTATAAAGAAAAAAAAATTGATTTTGTTATTTTTGCCTTGTCTTACATTTCTACTCACACACCATCCAGAGCTCATATGTGAACTTGTGAATTATTTTGAAACAAAAATGCAGCTAGTTTAAATAGAGTGCACTCTGCTGATATTGCTTAAGTGCAGTTAAAATGAAGATTTTTAAGAACTGTGATATTAAAAGTTAAATCTGAACATGTTTCACAGGTGTGGGTGTATGCAAAATGATAAAGATAACTGCAGATTTACACCTGACCTGGACACCTGATAGTAATACATTGTTACCTCTTCTCTTCTCTCTGTGCCTGTCCTTCAAAACAGTAAGTAAATTTATTACATCTGTTCTCCATTTTTAATTCTTTATTATGGTTACATGTATGTATTTTTATTATTGTACTCAGGGATTGCGTGCTCTATACCCCTATTATTCATACAATGCCAGGGAGGAATGGGCCAACGTTAGTCATGTCGATCCACGGAAGGGGATGTCAGGTACAATTTCTTGGATAAAGAGAGACTCACTGGTGTCAAGGAAATCCCTTGAGGGGTTCTGCTTACTATAAATCTTCCTCATCCTCACAAACAGTCCCTCCTTCTAATGTGTATTCTCCTGAGTGCTAAAAAAGTCCTTTTTTTAATAGTTAAAATCCCTTAAGGGTCCATGCCGAGACTAGGAATTGAACCTCTGCTTGTAACTTTAATGTCAAAACCTGTAATGTTACCAAGGTAGTTCCCTAATTCTTGAACCATAATACTGTTGTATCCTCATCCTCTGCACACACTGCTTCAACATAATTGCATACTAGGGGTTTTCTTTTGTTGCATAAAAACTATTTTATTACCATGTAACTGAATTTGTTTATACTGCAGAACTGAAATAAATTTCTATTGATATAAACACTTCTTTGTTCTTCATCATTTGAATTGCAGGGCTAGAACTGTTTATCTTGCCTCAGGTCAATTTAATAGCCTGTTTTATCTTAGGCAGCTTAACAGTTGGCTTAAACCCAGGGTACCTATTTACTGCTTGGTGAACAGGGGAGAAAACAAATTGAAAGAAAACATGCTCAACATTTCCACTCCGCTTTTTTTCCTTGTATTTTGCACTTCAAAGTTTTGCCATTCTCCTTTATTATTTCTCTTACTCTTCACCCTTTTTTTCTTTAAGTTTGCCCAATATGTCAGCATACAGATGGGCCTTTTGGATGTAACCAACTGTTATAGTCTCTGTTACAACCATGTAATTTGTCAAAATAAAAAATCTAATCTAATCTAATCTAATCTGTCTTCTTTATTATAAGATGTTCCACCAGGAGGACATGTAATATTTACCAATCAATTATTCAGTTATTGGACCGCAGTTAAGGACAATCTCCTAAAGGATCATAATCCAACAATTAAGAAACACAACTTGCACCAATTTTTAAATTGTTCAAATGGACCCGGCTTTCATCGGGCCAGTAAGCCTGATGCAGTGTTCCAACCATTCTTATGTTCTTATGCTATTTTAGCTTTTTCTTCAACTATGAAGTTCCCATATTCTGGTAAATTTATATTAGTTAATCTCGACTTCGGTATTTGGCCTTAATTGTAATTAATGCCTAGCAAACAACAATCAGGGATAGTGCCCTGATTGTAGGTAGAGGATTGGTTCTTCACAACTTGTGCTAAGTGATCCATGCAAGTGTTTAGTTGTTCATGAATGGCTGGTGAAGAAGCCAGGAGAAAGTGAACCTAGTAATGTCCAGTGAAAAGGTGGGGCAGGAGCTTTGGATCAACCCCTGCAGACAAATATAGGTGAGTACTGCATGTACTATGTAATTGATACCCCCACCTTCCTACTTCCCATTTCCTCGACACCTCAAGTGATAAGGCAATAAATACAATATTCTCTATTGAAAAAAGTTTATCCAAGGCTTGTTTAGGATATTTTTATTGGAATATTTTGTCTATATGAAATCAAGGCAAAAGAAATTTTTTAATTTAATCATAAATAAATTTTGCATTTTTTAAAACTATAAGTTCAGGAAAATGCAAGGGAAGCTTACCCTTTACATTACAAGTCAGTTTGTAATTTGTAATAACCTTGTTATGATCTTCATTGAAAAAATTGTCTGTCAAAATTTAATTTTTCTATAAATTCTATTTCTTCTTCTTTCACTGACTGACTGTATCCCACTGAGGTTCAGGGAAGCCAAAAACACAAAATAATCAATGGCTTCTTTTTTTAACATGAGAAGGGGTTAATAAATGCTATTTATAATTGAATAATAAAGATTCAGTAACCATTGGGGGTCTTTTTTTTAGGTACTCCCCAGGCATGTGAAACCACAATATCTAACTAGCTTCTCAGCATGTATTTATGCTAGCTAACAGAGGATGCAGATGTTAAGATACTTACCCATATGGCCCATTTTTATCCAGGGTTTTCAACCTTATGGACTTTCTGTTGCCGAGATTCAGTTTGTGTAACTAGGAGAAAGAGAGAGTTCGTGAGTAATGTGATGTAAAGTTTTTACTTAGTGAAATTGATATGTTTACAGTATTTGAAATCAAAAATTATCTATAGAGTAATTGTTAATATTTATATTGCAGGTGATAAATTTTTGTAATTCTACTGATCATGACCTTACAGTGCCCACCAAGCATAAACCTACTATGGTGATAAACTTAGCATTCAAGAAGTTATAGATCAACATGACGGACTATGAAAACGTAAGTCCCAGGTCTTTTGATTTTCTCCAACAGTTTCAGATCATTCAGAGCTAGGGTGAGTCCTTGGCTTTTTGTGGAAGTCAGCCCTGGAAGGAGAGTGTCCTGCAGGGCAACATTTTATATACAGCCATGGATGTGTTGTCGGTGTTGTCCTGATGGTGACAAGGTCTCCTTGTTATGTTGTTAATGATTTGCAATGTATGCTCGGCATAACATCTATTCTTGGAATAAACAGCCACTGGCTTCAGGTGGATGTGGACAAACATTTGAGTGCAAAGCTGTCTCTTTTGCCTTACTGGTATTAAGCTCAATGGATGTTCATTTTACCTGTCCCAGGCTAGATAACTTGCTCTATATGCTAATCCATGTGTGGATCCTTCCTATGAGCAGTAAAAGAAATTTTGGGGGGTTTTCTTTGTGATCAAGGTCTGAGGTGGGCTCTCTCATAAAGAAGTTAACCCTTTCAGGTCCGTGCCATAGATCTACGGCTTTGAAGTCAGGGGCCCAAACCGTAGATCTTCGCCATGAGCTCAGCTCACTCAGATAACATGTGAGCAGTAAATTTGGGCTAGATATGAGAGAACACATCTGGTGGTAAATGTACACATGTAAACAAATCCTACAGCACTTCAGTGCATAATGAGAGAACAAAAAACTGCAACCGTGATTTGGATTAAAACAGCCACTTTGCAGTGTTTTTTTGCTCATGTTTTTTACAGTTGTACCTCACGATTTCTTGGATTTCATTTGACGGAATGGAATATTTATTACAGAAATAGAGATTGATTTGGATTGGTTTTAGACTGAAAATGGACTTGAAACTGAGCTCAAACTAGCAGAATTGTTCAGTTTTTGCCGTATGTTTCAAGAGTAAACAAATGTAGTCACGAGTCCAATACACATCAGCTGGTGGGTCTATAATACATTCACGAATGTGCTGATATTTTTATATTATTATTAAAACACTGCATTACAGTAAATCTTCAATTTTTTTGGTGTGAATAAAATTCATTATGTGGAGTAAAAAATCAAAATAGAATTATTAGTAAAGCCTGAAAAACCATAACTAAGGAAACAGAGGAAATGTTAGTTTAGTGCCAGGAATTTTTGCAGTGTTTCTTTCTGAGACCCTATTTTGAAAACTGGACTATTTTGAACTTTGTGTTTACAACTGGCCAAATTAATAATTTCCAGTCACTTTATTGGGGTAGTTGAAATCAGTTGACTGGCAATTTCTTGTGTTTCAATCGATAAAATAGAAGTAATACTAGCGATAATAGCTAAGTATTTGGTCAAATGGAATAATGTAATTGGCCTTAAAATGGGATCAAAGTCAGCAAAATCGCTGATGTGTAAATATTGCTGATGCCAGCAAATTTGCGAGAGAGTAATCTTCTTCAGTTTTCATAAATATCTTAGTTCTTGCTTTATTTACCTTCAGAAAAAGATTCTCTACCATTTCTTTAAGAAAAAAATTAAGAAGAAAAACAAACCTGAAAATTCTTGGACCTGGCTGTCACTTGAGATTTGGTTCATGGATCCTGAAAAAGGTTAAAGTGGATGCTTGTTGGTGCTCGACATTCCCTAATGTTGCTCTTTCACCTTATGCGAGGGCAGATCAGTGGGCTGTGCTCTGTTGTATGTGGCCAATACAATAATCCAGACTGGAGTAGTGGCTTGCCAATAGTATTTATAGTACTTGGCCATCTCTCCTGCTGCTGCTTTCTATAGCTTGTCCATCACCAGGACCAAGCTTGCATGGATGCATTTTCTTTATCGTTCTTGTTGAGTGTGTCTGTGTGCATCTGGTGAGTTGTTCCTGGATCTCAGCAGCGAGGAGATAGTGCCTGTGCTACCTATTTGTGGTTCTGCATACATTGGCATACCCAGGTCTTAAGCTGCAGTCTTTGTGGAGGTTGGATGAGAGGGTTCCCTTTGCTCGAAATGTGTTTGGTGTTTGGATGTGGACAGCTCTATTGTGGCTTTTGATATGTCTGAGGTCGGGCCTTCTTTTTTCCATTCTTGGACAATGCTCGAGGTATGGTCATTGTACGCAGTAGATGGGGGGATCCCTGACTTTCAAACTATAAAGGACTTTATGTTGGGTCAAAGAGCTAGGGTAGTGTGATTTTTCAATGCCAGGATGGATGTGTAGTAACCCTTGACTGTCGCAACTGACGGAAATTACGCTCTTGCTGTAGTTAGCAACCATCGGCAATATTTACAAATCGGCGATTTGCCCACTTTGAGCCTTTTTCGGCTTATTCATTGTTCCAGTCGAACACCAAACTCATAGCCTATTTCTTTAGAACTCCATTGTTTCTATCGATTGGGTACATAAACTGCCATTTTCGATTTAAACTACCCCAATAACGTGGTCCAGAAATTGCATTTGGCCAATTTGCACAAAAATTAAAAAAATGACAATGTCAAAAATAGGTCAGATTGAAAACAATTGCAGACATTCCTGGCTCTAAAATAACATTCTTCTTTGTTCATCAGTCATTGTCTTCCATGCACTCTGATTCGACTCTTGCTTTATAGTTTGTATTTATATTCAAACAAAAGAGAAGATTTAATGTTATGCAGATATGTAATACTGTAATAACTGTACAAGTATGTTCAACCATTTCATGGACTGCATATTTGCAATGGCTAGTTGGACATTTATTGGAAAACTCGACAGCATTTGTTTCTTTTTGATACATTGGCAATAATAAATATTTCCCTATTTTAGGCTTCCATTTCAAGGTAATTTTTAAGTAAAAACCAATCTAAAATCACCTCTTTTCATATTATTTGCTTTTTCCATTCTATAAATGAGACAAGGAAAACGAGATACAACCATTAAATAATATACGAAAAATACGACCACTAAGTGGAATTTTAAGTTAAAAAAACGGTCTGATTTTTTTTCTTCATTATGTCATTGCATGCTCCAGGTTTTTTTATAGGGTGCACATGACCACACAGAACCCAATTCTTTCACATGTGGCTACCAGCTTTCTCCTGCTTGTTTTGAAGCCGTCTAGAATTTACGAGTTTCATTTACGTCAAACTCAGGTACCTGTATGATTGTATATAATAACAACCCAAATAGTCCAAGGTGTTAAGCACAGCTTATAATGAATCTCTGTATTACTGTGGACCCATTCAATCCTAAATGTCTTAATCTGAGTAGAGAGTGAACCAAGTTGGACCCTAGTTCACTTTTACTCAGATTGAAAAATATCGTCTTTCTTTTCCCTGGCCTAGTATGCTTCTTTTCATCCATGTGGTCTGAAGGTTTTAGGTGTAGTTAGCCTGTCTCCAGATCTGGTACACAAGGTCTTTGGAGTTTTGTTGGCTTCCAGTCCCATGACAGTGAAGATACTGAGGTGCAAGACTGCATAATCGAGCTGCTTTACTACAGACTTCTGCTTTTACTTTGTCCTCCTGGCACATTACAGTAAACGATCTTGGGAAGGTAGAAGGCTGGTTGAGTCCTACGACAAAGAAACAAGTTTATGCAGGGTTGGCAGGATGTGGGTGTTTGGAGTCACCTTTCTTTCGACTGTGGATTGGGCCTCAATATCTCCCCTTAGGCCACCTGTTTGCAAGTCCTCATTGCCTCTGCTTTGTAGTTGTGACATGCTGCAACTGACTGTGAAAACTGTAACTGCTTGCCTCTGACTTAGGCTATTTTATTTTGTCTTGGTTATTATATTTTGCCTGGGTGCTGTTAAGGATCTTGAAGCTTTCTGACGTCTTTGGATATTTAACTGGTTAATAAAATTTGTATTTAATGCTGCTATTTTTTTTTAGGTATTATGGTATTTTTTTTGTGTTGTACATTTTATTCAAGTTTTTTTTTAATTGTTTTGTTCATTTATACTTTCAGTGTTTTTTTTGTGTGTGATACAGTATTTCATTTTTTATTGCCAAAGAGTGCTGATTGGATATCCATCTAGTTCAAAATCAAAAGCATTCTTCAAATCTCAAAAATAACATTCCCACTACTATAGACTAAAGTAAAGTATGTAAACCAATATTTCCTGTACACATAAGTACAATTTTCCTAATTAATTTTTTCTACTCTCATTTAAGCAGTATATATTTTTCCTTGTTCTTTAGGATTTTAATAGTGTCGTTTATAATACTCTATCTTTAGAATTTAGGTAAAATTTGTCCCTGCTTTGCTTTCTCAGAATCCCTGGGGAACCACTTTGTTGAACACGAACTTTTCAGTGGTTGGTAATGGCACTACCTCCTGGGGATACAATTGTATTCGTGCTGGACTACAGTATCCATCATGCAGACTTGAGTATCATGGATAGGAAGGAAGGAATATAAAACTGAAGTGGGGAAAGGAAGAGGGAAAGGAAAACAGAAAAATGAGTACAGTAGGGGCCCCACTTATACAGCAGGTTAGGGTTCCAGGCTACAGCAGAAAGGAGAATGACATTTTTTCCACCTATAAATGAATGCATATAAATGTTAGATAACAAGTTTATACTAACATATATTAAGTTAGCAATCGAACTAGGCATTAGAAACAACAAAAAGTAAAATACACACAGTTCACTCATTACTTACCTCAAAATATTTGTAGTCTTAATATAGGGTGAGATGAGTAGTATATATATTATTTGTATTTTATAGTTATCTGTTTACAATAATGTCTTATCATTAATTTCATCATTGCTTAGTTAATCTTAAGTTAATTTTAAGCCAGCCCGTAATGCTATGCATATAAGTGGCTTTGGCATGCTGCTCTTACCTGTATTTTTTGTACCTCTGTTTGTATGCTAAATTTTATTGTAAGAAGTCAAGTGTGGTAGGTATGGTAGCACACCAGGCCACCCCACCCACACGTAATATACTATGACATTTAACCCTAAAACTGTCCAAACGTAGATCTATGTTTACGTGTGTAGCGCTCCGACCTTGATTTTCTCCATTTGAAAGCACGTAAAAAAAAACATAGATCTACATTCAGAGCAGGATATGAGCAAATGTAG